CAGATCCCTGATAATCTACACGACTGCTTCAGAGAAGTCCATATCAAAAATATTCTTGGATATATAAAATCAATAGGCATGTTCTGGAAAATATGAAAAACATTAAAAATATTACGGTAAAAACACAAAATGCAAAAGCAGAGGCATTATTTATACCAACGCAGCTTTTCACAAAAATGTAAACATAATAATTATAAAATACTTACCTTTATGGCTTCTCTTACACATGAGTATCATTAATCACCCAGATCTACCCCTGTGGTGAAAATTAGATGTCCTGAATAAAAATGGGAGGAGGGAAACGGCGAATGACCATTGCAGTCGACGCCATAGGATTAAAAAAAAAATAAATAATAATCATAATAATAATAATAATAATTAAAAAAAAAAAACACTCAAAAAGGCTAATGTTTGGCATTTTTCACCGTCGCCTACAGTAATTACATAGAGATTCAGTAAGTTAAAACTATTTTATGTAGTCATGAGATTCATCTTATCTCTAATTATACTTAGGGAATGTAATGTATAAAATTGAGGTACCATTGTAAATAAAGTACAATACTGAATCCTAAATTAATAATCTGTAGTTTCAGAAGCTTTTAACTGGAGAAGAACCTTCTTGAATTCCTTTCTGGAACTACCACTGGAAGTAATTTGGAAAAGTTCCAAATATTCATTCAACAAACAAGGTGCTGTGTATGTATAAGCTTTTTTGAATTCAGGTATTACATGGCCTGGAATATTATAACAATTATCGTTTCTTAGAAAAACATGGCGAACAGAATTAGAAGGTTTATATCTTAAGACTTTGTATAATAGAGCACCATAAAAAAGCAATGAACGGTAATTATATTTTAAAATGTCTTCTCTCACATAGTAGCCAGTGATTTGTTCTTGTCTACATATATCATTATAACAAAATCTTATGTAACGATTCTGTAAAATTAAATTTTTTGTTTTATTTCCAATGCAAGGAAGTCGTAATGGACCGTAACACCATAATCCAAATGTGTAAGAATTAACAAGTTTACAAGCCATAATTCAATATCACATGTCAGTAGGTGCTTATATCTCCAAAGCGTTTTATATTTATAATAGCACAATTTGAGTTTATTCATAACATGACATTCAAAACTTAAATTTGTATTTAACAGTATTTCCAAACTTTTTGTTTCCTCTACAATTTGAATAGTGGTACTATCTAAAAGAAAATTTGTATTCACTGCTTTTTTAAATTTTGGTACAACTAGTCTCGAACCAGTACAACAAGCCTTAGTTTTTGTGGCGTTAAGTCTCACACAATAATTTTTTGAATATATAGATAAACTGCACATTGGCAATCAATCTAATTTAGTGTATTAAATACCTTGCAGTGACTATCAAATGGTGTATATCGCTCAAACAGAACAAAATTTGAGAAATAGACTTTCTTCGCAAAAATCCTCTTACAGCAAACTTCATTGAAATGATAGGGAACAAGCAGCTTTGGCAACTCATCATTTCCAGAATAATCATAATTTCAACTTTAACTTAGTCTGGCTACCAGGTAATAAAAGCAATTACAAAAAGCACTTAATTAACGAAATTAAAAGAATGCTCCAACATGGCGGAAAGCCGCGATCTTGAAAATTTCGATTGCTTATTTTACGCTAAATGCAAATATTTCAGTGCTCCAAATTTCAGCTTGGTACCTTGACCCGTTTAGACAATGTATAGGTATCTACCTATATTCTTCAACTTAATCCTTCGATAGCTCGAAAATTGGCCATTATCGAACTTTGTATCTATGTAGATTATAAATCTGGAATAAATTAGCCTATATTGAACATATTGTGGAGATCACGGGACCTCTCATTAAATTTATTCGATGCTAAGCGACGGCGCAGCTACTAGTAATAGCGCGGTCAGATGTAATTTGAAATATACGGAACATTTATTCAAGCGCTGCATTTGATTATCGTTATTTTCGACAAGAGGTAGGTACCATTTTATCGCATGAGGAACGTTATTTTCACAAGCACGAATTAAAACGATTTCTGTTTGTTATTCACATGAAATATTACCAATGCATAGTTAAAACCTCATGAATAAGATAAAGCAAGCTTTATGGAAAAGCCTTCCATTCACCTGACCAAGTAGGCATACACGTTAATAAAACATCATATTAACGTTAGTATGTGAAAACATCCTTTATTATAAAACGGTGGCTATAGGATACGTGCTCACACATTCTCTTCTTGACTTAATAAAACTTTAGCGGTTCCGACGAAACAATAGAGGTGGCCACCATTATAATAACAAGATGCGGGTCATGTGAAATTTTATCGACCTACTAAACCAACAGACGGAAGTTGATCGAAAATGGTAAATCATGCGGAAAAATGGAAGAATCTCAATAACAATGTGCCGGCAGTTAAAAACGACGCAAAAAGTTACTGTGGTTAAACGCAGGTAAGTAAATTGGAAGAAGATTGGTGTAAACATTCTGCGAGTGTGTTTGTATCAAGTTGAGATGTTTCAATAATCAATGGGCGACTGAAGAATATTATTAAGCAAGAGACGAAAGATGAGAACGTAGAGTCTACGCCATAGAGGATGAAGAAGAAATACTCGTTTTTGATAACAGTTTCTAATTACCAATGATGTCACTGTAATTTTATTAAGTTAAATTGCGTGTGGTTATGATTCGCATAGTTTTCTTACCAATGTTGTCACCGTAATTTTTTAAATTAAATTGTTTATGGCTATGATTCGCACGATTTTCTTCAAAACAGAAATTCTTCAATAATTGAGATATTGACAAAAATAAAAAAAAACTGTTGAGAAAAGTAGAGGCATAAAATTCTCATACGAAGGCGCATTATTCAGTATTCCAATGTTTCCACAGAGTGTTCGGAAATTTAGGGCAAAATGCGTCTTTTAGTTAAGCCCTGTATAACAACAAATATTTTCAATTTTTTTGCAAGATCGATAGTCAATAATGATGACAATTAAATTACATACAACTTGTCAAAAAAATTGACAAAATTGATGCAAAGGTTAAAAAGTTATTTAAAATTTAATTTGTACAAAATAGGTTCTTCTTAAATAACTTTTAAACAGCAGCGCATAGTCAAATAACGTTTTGGTAAGGTACTAAAGTTTTTTCGTGACGGTGTCGATTCGAAGCAACTCATTTATTAGATCCAGGGACGGACCAAACCGATCAGTTTTATTTTTTTTGCAAGTTGACCTTGATGTATGTAAATTTGGCACACGCGCTTGGCTTACGTGACAATACAAAATGGTTTAACTGCCACCATTTTAAATGCTACAAAATGGCGATTCATCATTTCCATAGTAACCACTATGATATGGATATCAACTGAAAGGACGTGATGAGAATTACACAACAATCAAATTTTAAATTCAATATGGCGGCCGCCGTAAAATGGCGATTAACATATTTATCTTCACCACTACGGTATGGGTAATAAACGAAAATGTTTTTACAGATTTTTACAAGCTTTTAGTTTTTTATTATTTGCTTTATTTTTTTTATTTATGAAAGAAACGCAATAAACAAGGTGATTCTTAATCCAGTATGACGGCGGCTGCAAAATGGCGATTTACATATTTCATAGTCACCCCTATCTTTTTGCATTAATAAATGAAATGAATTGACACAAGTCTCAACTTCAAGGAGCATACACAGCCAGAAAAGAATTAAGTTACATGAATGTAAGGAAAATTGCAACTTGTTTACCAGAATTGAAGGTTTGAAAATACTATCTATAATTTGCGTTTATTGTCTCTAGGATGGAATATTGTTCATTTTTTGTTTAAAAGCTATATTACATTTTTGTAACATATTTCTTTTATGTATTTCGCTGTTCTTTTTACCTAAACTATATGCTGCAAATAAACAGTATTATCATTATATACCAAAAGCAGGTGCTAGAGAAGCTGCAACGTGGTTTCCTGAAACATTTGTACTTAAAAGTTGGCAGAACTAATTCTGACAGAAGCATCAGCGAACAGCTTTTACGTAGTAAGTTCAACAAGGATTGGTTCGATTTGAGCAGAATTAAGAATTTGGTATCAACTCTATTACAAGCTCCTGCGCGGCCTCATAGGTTGCCCAAATAAATTGATTTTAATGTTTATCAAGTTATATTACGATCTTCTGCTATTTTCAGATTGGAGAAATAGAATACCAACGTACGAATCAATTCGCCATTCCATGTAGCTGTCAATAATTTCAATGTTATCGCTAGTAACAGTGACATACATTCTGACTCTTTGAATGGTATCCTATCATTTCTCACTGAAACTTATTGTTGTATGTCTTAACTTCCTTACTGCGTTGAATTGCACTTTTGGGTATATTTTTATTTAATGTGTTCATTTTTTCTTTTTTTCCTAATGTTTACTTATTAGAAACTCTGGCAACTTTCTTTTTTCCTTACTCTGTTTTAATTAGGTAAATATCTCAGATTTTTTATTGTTTAAGTTGTCCTGTAATTGCAACTGTTGGACAGTAAATACTTTATTTGTATCTCCGAAACAGTATTTTAAAAATAATAAAATGGCGAAACTCTCTTAAAAGAATCCACGACTTGAATTTTTGCCCTGAATATAGTCCACAGTTTTTTTTGTAAGACATTTTTATACACACCCATACAGTTATATGTGTTGATTTGGCCAGAAGGCATAGACTTGAGCCAGCATGAAGACATTTGACCTCACAAAAAAAAAAACCTCCAAGAATCATTTTCTATAATACAGACAGCGCTGTTTCGTGCTGGTTAGCAACTTACCAGTGCGGTATAGATGTAGTCTTGAGACAGACGGACGGAAAGCAAACAAAATGAGTATGATCTTTTACAACATTGTGCGCAAGTCGGCGAAAGTCTCATAATCGCTACTTTCCAGGATCGTTTGTTCTTTAGTTAATAAGTAGACAGTTTCGTGGCATGGATCCAGTAGTGAAGATCACCCTTTATATCGTATATTTCTACCTACTATTGACAAGAACGGTTTGACTTTTCTGGCCTACAAAAACGTTAATTTGCTCTTTTAAGATGTATGCACAATAGGTTAAAATATCCGTAAGTTGACCACTTCTCTGGATTAAACTGGTACTGATCTCTCGCAATGATTGTTATTACCATTTTAGAGTATTACGATATCAAAATGAGACGATGAATCTTAATGATAGTAGAGGTACACCATCGGATGCCACCATAGAAGGACCAGGAGCTGAACACATGAAGTCCCAGGCATTGGGAAAGTCGCGGTAATGTAGATACGATTTTGCTAAGCATCCCAACAATTTATTTCATACTTCTTATTGCAATTTTTATATAATCATACCAAGGGAACAAGCAACGAAAGAGCTGCTCAACATCAATGCCCAGTCCTTCAAATAGTTGCTGAAGTAAAATGCCACAGGCGCTACATTTATTTTTATAGCATTTGCTGCTAGAATATCAGGACTCCCAATATAACTTTTACCATTAGCCTAAATCATCATACAACAAAACTAACTAGATCGAATTTTTTAATAATAATTTAAGACCGGTACCATCCAATTCAAAATTCGACGATGCTTTTTTATAGTATAGACAATACTAGGCATGAATAACCGATACCCTTGCAGAAATCCGGGAATTTTAGGACTGGATTTCAAAGATCCGGGAGTCCCGAGATTTTTGGGATTTTCACTGGTGAAATCCCATTTTGTTGTTAAGATCAAGTTAAAATAGACTACTGTGAGGCTATTACAATTCCGATCCAGTCAGTTAGTTTTATAAAAAGAGAGAAGCAGTATTCCTATGGTGGCGAGCGATGACTAAAAGTATTTAAAACTAATTTAGTATGTTGCTAAATATGTAGGAGTTTGGTGACTCTATTTATTTGTTTGCGAATGTATTCTACCCGAAGATAGCTAACCTAACACTATATTCACGTATTCGGAAAATCATCCCAGAGTGAAATATGCTCTAATATAGTTTGCTACAGCTCCACTTATTAGACAGTAACCTTTTCAAAGTAGATTATTGCGGAGAAGAGGACAGCTGGCCAATTCTCATAGATTGCGCTATGCTCATTCCATCACGGATAATATTTCGGGCGAATATATAGTCTGAGGTTGTTTATCATCAGATAGAATACGTTAATCAAAGATTGAATATATTTATTTATCACAAACGTACATATAGAGAATATACAAATAAATATAAGACGATTGACAGAAAGATCAACTAGTGCGTCGCACCAGAACAATGTAGCTTCAGTTTTAAACATACCATCTCATCATTCATATTCAAATTTTATTCATTTTTATCAACATACTGACTTGAGTTTTAAATTCTCTTGGTTGGTGCAGTACTGAGTCAGTTTTCGATAAATTATAGTAAGTACAGACCCCTCCGTAAAATAGGCGGTAGGAGTATTGACGTTTTGAATACAATTCAAATTTATATTTTTATTAAGAAGTTTATTCCTACTTAGTCCCTAAACTGATGAAAGAACCAAGACAAGGTTTTGCGGTCCAGCAGGGGTACTGCATATATTGAAAAATGACATTATGTAGGTTTTTTTTAACATATATATTGTTTGTGACATTATGTAGGTTTTTCTACAAGATGTCAACATAGCACTAGCTGTTGTACACTTGTTGTGTATCTACTCGTTCCGTAGCTGTACGTGTTGTTCATAGATGGCAGCATTATTGAGGTCTTAGCTGTAAGTTGTATACTATAGCCGGAAGGACACGGCAGAGCATAGGTGCATAGTAAGGACTTGTATGCTAATAATCTGTGATGATGATTATTCCATTGGTGTCTTGTCTCAAAGAACTCAAACACACTTACTTGAGATGTATGCAAAGCCAAAAATTAGTTGCATCTTCTTATTCAACCTAAATTTAAAAAAAACACAAAAAATGGGGAAATCGTAATATACAACTTTGAACATAACCTCTCTTCAGAGAGGACAACACAAGTAGCCCGTCTGGCAGAACTAATAGATATATTTCGTAGGCAGCTCATTCGGTAATGATTTTCTCACATAGCAAAGATCAGCGATTTTATACACATGCAGTGTATAGTTCTGAAAAAATATATTGTAATTGACTTAAGCGGTTCTGTCATTGGGATCTTCAATGTGGATTAAAAGTGCCAAGCCAAAAAAAATAAGATGATTAGCCTTATTTGCTCGGTTATAGGCCGCCATCGCTATTGCCTGACTTGGAAGATCCAGATGAAACAGAGCAGGATCTGGAAGCTCGGATTCGAGCACAATTGAAGAAAACTGCTAAAGAGAATACTACCATAGAAGGAAAACTCCTTCTAGTATCCCAATTCGAAACTCCCAGAGAAGTTCTGTGTTGCAAGTACAACGAGGAGTTTGATTACTTGGCAGCTGGAGGAGCAGATGGAGTTATACGTGTCTATAACAGCAACACAATGGAAGAGTCTTTTATTCTTTCCGACAGTTAGTAACTTTTATATAAAAAATTGCGGTTGACTCCGTATCACCTACGCGTTAATATATTGTCCAGGAAGCACCCTGGCATCCACTCGAGACAATACTCTCATTTGGTCTTTTGAAAAATCTGATTCTTTTAACGAATCTGCATCTTGCCATATCCACAATTACACCAAACTTTGATGAAACAAGTTCCTAAAATCGTTTTCTTTTCGCTCCGCGCAAAGCTTTTTTAGGTTTTTTTGGGCCATTCTGAAGAAACAAGGCTTGTGTGAAATTTTCTCTAAAGTTCATAGTTTCCGAGATAAAAGCGATTTAATATATGAAAAATAAAATCGCATATCATTTTAGAGGGCTTGGTTATTTTGTTATTGTAAGTCTTTGTTTGTCAATAGCTATTCAAGCACACGCTGTGTGTTCTGCGTGATTTCAAATATTTTGGAACTTCGGGATCATTAAAACTTCTGTTTTTTGATATTGTTTTTCGGGATCGAAAGGGGCATAAAAGCCCTGTTCGTAAAGCTGTCGCCAATCTGACAGAGATATTATCCAAGACCCTGCTGCACAAATTCCATTCATTCTGCTACGTTATATAGACAGGATCTACAAGGCCGGATCCCAGAAACTCTCCGACAAGTCGCCGAACAAACCGTAAATCGCTTATATCCCGAAAACTAATTTTAGATAATTGTTCATAAGATTTTTGTTAGTTCAGAATAATCCCAAATATATAAAAAAAAAACTTTTTCCGATGAGAAGAAAGTACGAGTTTTAAAATTTGTCTTGAAAGAATCTTGAAGAAATTTTTTAAAGAATGTTTGACGCAATTTTGAGCCAGGCAGCATACATGGTCGTTAAAAGGGGCAAGATTGTGGAAAAAAAACAATCAGAATATTTTTCCGAATGAACGCGAAGATACTTTCTGGACTAATAAAGCTTTTTCATTCATCTCTTGGGTCATGCTAAAGTGAGTCTAGTCAGCCCCAATGGTGCAATTTGGGATAACGTGATTCTATTACGCCTAAATAGTCTACACTCCCATCCACAGTTTTACCGATGGCAGCACTCTCTGACGATTTATCACCTCTTGGTGCAGCTTAACACTTCCAAAACAAAGTACTGTACCTAGATTAACCAGATGCGCCCCATTCATTTCGACTGCTTGGAGTCCATATCACCAAGCACTTAATTTAAAAGCATAGTCGCAACAGCTACTGATGAAAAGCTATGGGTTATTTGTTTGAGTCTAAGAAGTACTTTTCTCCGCATAATCTCTTCACTCTGTGAAAGACCCTGATAACACGTAGCCTTGAGTACTCGTCACATGTTTGAGGTTCTGCCGCCACGACTACATTGTCCATACTTGATGCTGTTCAGAGAAAGGCTATTCGACTGATCAATGAAACTTCTCTAACTGGCAGTATTGGGAACCTTTTGCACTGACGGGCAATCATCGATCTTGCTCTCTTATACCGCTACATCAACGAGCTTTGCTCTTCAGAGCTCTGCCTCCCATCCCAACTCTGTCTAACTTCGTACATCGAGAACTGGCCGGTACAATCACTCCTCCATTCTCAGGGTGTCGGGATTATTCTGCTAACCTTTGACAGTTCAAAAGTCAGATTAACAAGGTATATTCAAGTTCCTTAAATCAGTCGCAGCGCCCCAGCATTCAGGTTTCTGCCAATGCGACTGTTTCAGTATAACAAAAACTAATGTGATAATCATCAGCATCATTTGCGCTCCAACTCTATTTCTTGATTTACCTAGGTGACGTGAAAGACAACAGAGCTCCCGTAACTTGCATCAAGCATCGGCCCGTTTCCAAAACCTACCCCATAACGAACTGCTTCACCGGTACCTATGCTAATGGGTGCGTCAAATGCTGGAGCTACAACTTCAACCAATGCCTATACACCATCAGAGAGAAACGGCAGACCTTCGGTATTGTCTACCATCCGAGGTTTCCGAAATTCGTCACTTTTGGGGATGACCTTAAAGTGTACTTCTACGATGAAGAGAGCAAAGTACAAGAAAGGATACTGGCTGCCAGCGATAATCCTGATAAGCATGATGGGCATATGTCTAGGGTCTTCGCAGCATGCTTCCATACAAAGTAAATATTTTTAACTTCATTTTAATAAGTAATAAACAGCGCTCGAAACGGCTGCATTTGATATCCTTGGTTCATATGCAGGACAAAAAATATAAATGACTATTAAAATCTGACAAACCTTCGTTACCTTGATACAGGTCGCTAGCGAACACATTTTTCTTGGATAATACCGGGCAAACACTAAACTCTGTAGATTAAAATCCGAGTGAAACAAGAGAGCTAAGACAAAATAATGGAGCTTCCTAAAAAAGTCATTTTTCAGCGTGAAGCCGCGGTTATACTCATGGTGGCATGTGTCAGGTGACGGGTGGTAGGCGACGGGTGATGCCGCGGATATCTGCGTGTCATTGGTTTTGAGAAATGAGACAGATGGTGATGCTACCGGACGACGTGACAGTAGCATTGCCATATTGGATGATTTTTCCTCAATTCAGGAGGATTTTTACACCTTTCAGAGAATATTTTTCTGGGTATCTTTTTGAGGGTGGCTGGTTGGTAAAATGTTTTAGTATTTTTGGGCGCATTTTACTTCATTTTTAACCATGTGCAACTAGCCACTGCCAAAGAGCAATTTCAAATATTTTTACCCCATCTAAATGGCACTTAAGCCTCGACAAAACAAACAAACACGGGACCCTGATCACGGTAGTATTGGTCAGTCGACATGGTGCGGAATAGTAAGACAATATAAAAGAACCAGGATTGAATAAGTATGATTTGAATAGGGTGTAATACAATAATATGCTCAATTTTATCTGACCTATTTCGCAGCTCTGTACGGCAATATTCGCAGTAGGGTATTTCCAGTTTGTTCTCTCCAACCTAAGCCCGACACCGTGAAAAGCATAAAAAATGGATCATCACTCGTCACTTGTGGTCTGTCGCCTACCACTCGCCACCTCGTCTGCCACCTCAGAGTATAACGGTGGCCTTAGGGTCAATCCGTCGCAGGGACATGACGCTTATTTCAGGTTAGAAAAGTTTTACTTTCGAACTGACAACTCTCTTTCGATACTTCGATAACTTAACGGTTAACTGTTTCCATAGTTACAAATCTATCCTCCTCAACTCTCAACTCCTCTATTATGCGCGGGTGCTTTTCATGCCGGAGGTTACAGAATTCAGCTTAGTACCAAAAATGCAATGTCCGCCCGAAATTAATGTTTGTTAACCACAAATAATTGTCATTATCCTTTATTGACAGCACGAAAACTGGAGATATAAGGAGGTTCAACTGAGCAAGGGATACACGTATTCATATGAAGTGTACCCTGTCGCCACGGATGGTGTAGCTCTCCGAAATCTATGGGACGTAGAACATGGCGTAGAGGGTCTGTGCACTGAAAAATGTCAACATAACCTGCCACAATCTTTGTGTGGATTTTACTCACGTTTTGCCATGCTTTGCAGGTTTATTACTTCGTGTTTTGTTAATATTATCCAATATGTCTGCTTGAAACTCATTCGATCAGTCAAAATTGGAGCTGTTGTCATGATGACAGCAACAGAGAGATGCAACATGCCTAGAACCTGAAATCAGTTTTCTGTGCAGTATACACACAAGAGAAATGCCCAATGCGCAGCACCTAAAATTCATTTTCTGCGCAGTGTATCAGCTGAATGCATCGTCGATATTTTTGGCTTCACCTCCCCTCCATGAGTACCTTCGACTTTTAGACTTCATAACTGACAATAACTTAACCATACACTCTCGCTCCAAACGAGACAACATGGTCAATTTTTTGTGGATGAATATTCAGTCAAATCTATATTTAGCAAGGTTTTGCGTGCGTTATTGGCGATTTTTAAGGTTTGGCCCCTTGAGAAAATATTCTACCAACGCTCTTCAAGAAGTTTTGCGGGCTGATGCACTTCTAATAATATCCAAAAAGTTTATTTTTGCCGACGTAAGGCTAATCGACCTCCCCTGAGAAAAGTCTCTGAGGGTCGCCATAGTTGCGTTAAGTGTGAGTGATCAACGCGGCGGACATGATATTCATTACCCAGTCGTCGTGTCCATAACAAGCGCCTTCACAGCGCGTCATGGGCGTCGCGCATCTGCGTCCTTATAGCCTATTGCGAAGAAGGGCCTGTAGGGCATATTGAAAATTCAAGAAAATACCGTTCTAGCTCGATATCAAAGGCGGCGACTGACTGAAGCCGAGCGCTGTAATAATGGGTGTTTTTTTGCTAGTATCTTTTTCTCAAAACTGTTTTTGGCAGATGACGCGTGAATCGTGTCTTGTGTCATTGTCAAACTTGTTCAGTTTGGTCTATAATTTAACCACGAATCGACTTACGAACGAACAACGCTTGCAAATTATTGAATTTTACTATCAAAATTCATGCTCGGTTAAGAGAGTGCATCGAGCACTGCTTCCAATTTGTGGGCAATTTGGTCGGCCTACTGAGGGAGCTATTCGTAAGCTTGTGACTAAATTTCGAATCCAGTTTACATTATTGGATATTAAACCACCAACACGCAGACGTAGAGTGAGGACTGAAGAAAATATTGCGGCTGTATCCGCCAGTGTTAGTGATGACCGTGAAATGTCGATTCGGCGCCGTTCGCAGCAATTCGGCCTCTGTTACTCCACTACGTGGAAAATTTTGCGACAGGATTTGGGTGTAAAACCTTATAAGATACAGTTGGTGCAAGAATTGAAGCCACAACGTTTCCAATTTGGTGAATGGGCGCTGGCAAAGTTGGAGGAAGATCCACATTTTTATCGAAAAATTGTGTTCAGCGACGAAGCTCACTTCTGGTTGAATGGGTACGTTAACAAGCAAAATTGCCGCATCTGGAGTGAAGACCAGCCAGAAGGATTGCAAGAGCTACCAATGCATCCCGAAAAAATCACTGTTTGGTGTGGATTATGGGCCGGTGGCATCATCGGGCCGTACTTCTTCAAAGACGACAATGGCCGGAACGCAACTAAGAATGGCGAGCGCTACCGTGCGATGATAACAAACTTTTTTTGCCCAAAATGGAAGAGCTGGACTTGGCTGACATGTGGTTTCAACAAGACGGTGCCACATGCCACACCGGACATGAAACAATGGCCCTATTGAGAGGCGAGTTCGGTGAACAGTTTATCTCACGTTTGGGGCCCGTCAATTGGCCGCCTAGATCGTGTGATTTAACTCCGTTGGACTATTTCTTGTGGGGCCATGTTAAGGCCAATGTCTACAGGGATAAATCAGCAATGATTGACGCACTGGAAGCCGGTATTGAAGCATTTATTCGTGAGATACCGGCCGATATGTTGGAGAGAGTGTGCCAAAATTGGACCTTGCGCATGGGCCATCTGAAGCGGAGCCACGGCCAACATTTACATGAAATAATCTTTAAACATTAAATTATATCGACCGTTCCATCGACTCAAATAAAGATTTAATCGTTTTTTCAAATTCAAATCCTATACCTCTTAAAAAATCATAATCATAATGTAATGTCATGTAACAGAAAAATTCGCTATGTGAATCGCTAAAGCGAGCGCCGAATAGAGCCGCTCACGTCGAGCAAATCGTACTCCACTTCACTGTCGGTTTTTTGACGAATCCCTTTGATTGACTAGTTCGTCTATAAGCACAGTCTCTGCAGTTTTATTTTATTAGTTGAGGTAGAACTCTGAACACATGTTACTAATGAAGTGGTCCCAGGAGAAAATTTTATATTTTTATTGATTTATATCATACTAAAAGTATACTATGGGATACGCAACATGCGGAATATTATAACAAAATCAAGAAACATGATTAGTGGCAACAGCAAGCTGCGAAAACAGTCTTACACGTTATTATTTACAAATTTCATTTTTTTTCTCAATTTTATCTTTATTAATTAGTCCTGAACAATGCTGCTTTAAACTGTTGTCTAAAATTGAACGCCAGATGCCTCAGCTTGGAAGAAAATGACACGTTTACTGTCTCGCTCACACTTTGTAGAATAACTCTCTCTCACTCGAACTAGTATCTTAAAGTGACGGCTCCGAGGAAAGCCTTGGGTACACTAGAAGAATTTTAGGTAATTAATAAAAAAAGGTGGAACATTAAAATTGTCCATAATTCAAGAAATAATCTTGCAAGTGTCATACTATTTTTGAATCCTTACTCAATGGGCCAACTTTTAAAATTACTTACCCGACTAGCGTAGTACATTTTCTTTTCAGTACAGTCAACGAAATTGAGACAAGCTTTAAATTTGAATATTTGCTTGGGAACGAAGTGACCTATAGTCAACGCCAAACAAAGTGGCGTGCACGTCATCACGATAAAAATTCCCCGACCTAATGCCTAGGTTTCTATCACAAACAATTGCTCTATTGCAGTTTCATATTAATGTGATATATAAATTGTAAAATGGTCATTACTCTCTTATTATGGTTAATAGTCATATAAACATTGTTATTAAAATATCACATAAGTTGCTTTCTGATAAATTTAGACGCATTATGCGAAATAAAATGTTTTGCAAACGCTCCAATCACTTATCGACATGTAAACGCACTAAACCGATTTCGCAGCGTTGACACATTGTCACCTTGAAACTTATTTAAACTGGGAACTGACATTTGTATTAATTTTGACACTGAATCAATTTGTGGCATTTCAAATCTTTATAAATCCTTTGGCCCCGCATACTGTAAATTAACAACTGTTTGTTTCAAAACAAAATTATTCATTTTACGAGTAGATAAAGGCAATTTTGGTATATAAAGATGCCCAAACAGTTAAATAGTCGGTGTAAGGAACTCGTGGCCTCGTTAATGCACTACTTTGAGCAAGAAAGGGACAACAACGGGCCTTTGTTGCCTTTAAATGCTGTTCAAGAGGTAGGTTACTAATAATTATATGTAATGTATATTAATAATAGTGAAATTTTATTTCATTTTTTGTAGCGTGTTGCTGCTGCTTTAAAAATTAGTTTAAGGACAGTTAGTCGTATTTCCGAGGGTGTGAAAAGTGATGCAAATTTAGAATCGCCCAAGAAAAAGCGGAGTTATATTAAACGTGTAACCAACACAGCGACATTGGATACAAGTGCCATTCGAGAAGTGATCTATAATATGTATCACAAAAGTAAGATCTTATTATAATAACTTATCAGAAATTTGCATTAATTTGTTAACTAAATTATGTCATATTACACATGGTTTCAGAAGAACAAGTTACGATACAAACTTTATGGTCTCGATTAAGAGATAGGGCATTATTTGATGGTAGTGCCACGTCTTTAAGGCGGTTGCTTAGAGATCTTGGATTTAAGTGGCTTAAGGACAATCCGCGACGAGGGCTCATGGAACTACCAAGTATAGCTTTGAAAAGGGTGGAATTTCTAAGGCAATACAATCAAGCCAAGGTTGAGGCCTTATACCAGTTTGTCTTCCTCGATGAAACTTGGATATTTCAAAATGGGACCATAGGTCGCTCTTGGCAAAATGGAAACCAAAAAAGCGTGAAAGCTATTAAAACAGATGGTAAAAGGTATGTACTTTTACACAATTTGCACTATAAAATTTAGAACTAATATATTTTAGATACATTATATTACATGCTGGAAATGAAAATGGGTTTATTGAGGGTAGTGAAGCGATATTTTCTTCGAAAACAAAATTGAGCGATTACCATGGAGAGATGAACCAGGACAATTTTTTGAAATGGTTTCAACATCAGTTATTAGAAAAATTGGAGAGTTCATCTATGATTATACTGGATAACGCCCCTTATCACAGCATGATATTGAACAAAGTGCCCAACAATGCATGGACAAAAAAAAATATCCAAGACTGGTTGACAAATCAAAACATACCATTTTTAAACACAATGTTTAAAACAGAGCTATTGAGTATTGTTGCTCGGTACATAATGCTTCTTAATTATATATATTTTGGTCGACAGTTTATATTTCTTTTGTTTATTCCTATTCTTAAAATAACTGCTTTTTTAGAAACAAACCACCTAAAATATACGTGATTGATGAATTGGCGGAACAACATGGGCACAAAGTTCTTCGTCTGCCTCCTTACCATTGTATATTTAACCCTATTGAGTTAATTTGGGGCATAGCAAAAGGTTACTATAACAGACATATTGGTAGAGATGGTAACAGTGAAAAAGACTGTTTGGATATGTGGAACGAGGCTCTACAAACGGTTACCCCAGAGATGTGGAAAAATAGTGTTCGACATACTGAGCAAGAAATTTTTAAATGGTATGAAAGAGAACGAATTTTTGATCGACCAGACATCGAACCTTTAATAATCAACTTTGAGAGTGATGAAGATTCAGATTCAGACAGCGCTGAAGAAAGAAACTCCGACTAACTTTATTGTACAGAAAAAGCTTACACCAGTAGCTTACCTAATTTTAGAATGCATTTTTCTGTATGAATTCTGTAAAATAAATACCATGCATAAAATTTGGAGGACCCCATTTGGATTTTTATTCAGTACCTTTAAGCTATCAATTAAATATGGTAGTTTCATAGTGTCATCTGATCAATAATTGTCATACTTAATGATTATGCAAGTACAGATCTATAATTTTATTATACTATTATTTTTGTTCTCATTTGAGGTTAATATTGCTTATAAACCTAGATATGTAAATAATAAATTTTATTATTTTACAAAAAGTTTGGCAACAATGTAAATTTTTCAACACACCTTGATGACGTGCGCGCCACTTTGTTTGGCGTTGACTTATAGTTGCTAGGCACGTCATAATGACGTCATATTAAAGTCATTTTAAGGCATCTCAAACAGAGTCAATGTGACTTTTTGTGTACTACGTGTCTGGAACGTCATGTTAACTGCCTGAAATTAATGACCTTATTATGACGTAGTCGTGCTACTAGGGCCAACTGATGTGCCTCTTTGAAGGAACAATTATGAGCTGATTACCGGCGGATGGGATAACACCGTTCAATTCTGGGACCTGCGCCAACCGTACGCTGTCAGGAAGATAACTGGAGTCCACATGGCTGGGGAGGGAATAGATATAAGTGTCTCGGGAAAGGAAATACTAACGGCGGCCTTCCAGAAAGCCAATCAGCTTGCCTTGTGGGATTACGGTAGGTGGCAATCTTATCAATAGTGGAAACGGCGTTGGCAGAAGTGCATCTTGTATCAGGCGGTCTACTTTAAAAAAAAACATAATGAAATACCTGAACAATTGTATGATAAAGTTATTATTCCACTTTCATACGTATTTTCCGGACAAGCCTTGTACAGTCTTAATGGTACCTTCTCTAACTATTCAAAAGTTAGCGTTAATCGTTTTCAGAAGCAAGATCTAATTTACTCTCAATAAAGTCATACACAGTATTAACAAGGCAGAGTTCTTTCAAAATATACAGTAGGTAATAAATTGCCAGATATACAAATCTAACAAAAATACATTTTTTCAAGTGGCATTAATAATATCACTATAATACAGGCAGGGCGTGAAAGATCTAAATGAGTTGATCGATTCATATGAAGAGGATCATGTGAGACAAACTGTCAAAATTCCGTTAAATTAAGCAGTATTGTTCAAGTTTGTAGCATTTTACGCATTATCTTAGTAAAAAAGGCGTCAGGTAGGTTGACTCGGTACTTCCTACGCAAGTCTGTTTTCCGTTCATAGACTATTATGTTGGCACCTCTGAGAAAAAAGGTAGTTACGAATATGTATAACAAAAAATGAAGGGATCAAGTTAGTCGAACAGGCTGATACGTGGAAATCTATGGTGAGTGAAATATGTCTAATGGTACGTAGAATTACCGCGGCTGGAAGCGTAGAAGTATACCAACGTCAAAACATTGCGATATAGCCTCTGCCACCGTTCTTTGGTCTTAATCAATTTTCCCCAATTTTCACAGAACCTGCTTCCCACCTATCAAATAATGATATCCACCAGCTACTTATAAGGTTTAATAGGTGAAAAGATGGTTTTTCGACTGGTGGCCAAACTAAATACCATTATATTTTTGTTCAATATCTATTTGCTTCAGTCAATAATAATAATAATAATAATAATAATAATAATAATAAACTAGAAAATTGCTCTCCAAATTTTGTATGCTACATCCAAAATCTGCCACGGAAGGAGTATACATACTTAGAGCCCTTGGGGGAAGAGGACTGATTAATGTTGAGCGTCTTTGCAAAGAGCAAGTGTCCAAGCTTCGTCGATATTTTTGCAACATCAATTGCCAAAACATTAGGAGCATTACAGCTATGGACAGCAACATCACCCCCATGAATTTGGGCAGAAATCATGAATCCTCAGATCGATCAATACCGACGTCGACTGACCTGCTCAACAGATGGAAAGAGAAAGCCCTTCACGGGAGATATCCTGTAACACTTGAAAAAGATGGAATTGATAAAAAGTCCTCACTATCAATTTTTGTGAAAGGCTACCTACATCCGGAATCGGAGGGTTTTCTATGTGCTATTCAGGATAAGGTTATTCGAACTAGAAACTATGAACGCCATATACTAGGCCTGAATACACACGACGTATGTAGAAAATGCCATACGCCAGGTGAAACAATAGAACACATCACCTCCAGCTGCAACATGTTGGCCAATAGTGCTTACTTATCCCGGCATAATCAAGTAGCCAAAATAATACACTCCACGTTAGCTCAAAATTATAATCTCATTCAGTCAACCGCGCCATATTATAAATATACACCATTCCCAGTGCTCGAGAATCAGTCGGCCCTATTGTACTGGGACAGGCCAGTCATAACCGATAAAACAGTTGACTATAACCGGCCAGACATACTACTGATCGATAAAAATAAACGGAAAGCATACATAATATCACTACCAAAAGGTGTCATTTCGCGCAGATCTCCATAATCTTGACACGAGACTGAAGCACCTAATCAATATACCATCTCACAGGACAGTTCTTTTTGAAAGAAGCTTCAAATTTACAATTGCTAAATATTATAATTCTCTTCCTAATTATCTTGAATCATGCAATCCACATACATTTAAGGAACTAGTTTCGGATTACTTTATGAGCAACTAAATTATTACAACTTCCAAGTTTAATTCAGGTGACCCTATGTGTGTTTTTTGGTTCGTGTTAGGTTAGGATATTTTTCTTACATGTATTCTACTACTGGCAAGGGTTGAGTGGAAGGACACCTCTAGGTTGAGGTTTTCCCAATACCATGATTATGTTTCTCATGTGTATGTGTGTAAAATGTACGTATATGATGGGAAAATAAAGAATATTATTATTATTATTATTATTCGTTTTTGGTTGGTCTTTCACCGTTACACACGGGGTATGTACACAACAGGGGAGGAATTCACCTCAGCCTATTGCGAAGAACTTGCGAACAATGTGACATGTTTGCAAGATTGCGGCTTTCTGCATCAATGCAATAAAATGCGCTGGAACTTTGATTTTCTCTAAGTGAGAGTGAAGATTTACAGATATTGCCCCTTCCACAGACACTACTACTGGTATTATGCAGACCTCTGATAGTTTCCAAATGTTTTTGATTTCAATGGCAAGGTTTTGGAACTTTTCAGCCTTGGTGTATTTGGTTCTGATTATGTTTACTGTCAGTGGAACTGCGATTGATATCACCTTTTGGTAGTGATAGGGGGGTTCTTATAATACAGTATCTTGTGAAATAAGCAGAGAGCATCTAAGCACAATCTTTTCTCCATGTTTAGCCAATTCAATTCCTTCAATTTATGGGAAACGCGCTCATAATTTTTAATCCCGTATATGAATCGAATGCACGAGTTCTGTACTCGTTGAATACGATTAACACTCTTTTCATCTAAACATGAACCAAATACAGGTGCACAGTATAAAAATTGATAAATAACTAGCGTATCGCATAATATTTTCTTACTGTCTGTTGATAAATATGATCTATGGGGATATAGTAATTTTAGCGTTGCGTATGCTCTCTGTATGCATTTCGTTATGAACCTTAGGTCCTGATCAATGAGTAAGCCCAGATTCTTTGCCTTACCTGTTTTTTCAATGACAATTAAACGCAAACTGCTTAAACCAAATAAATGTAGTTTACAGCAAGAAAACCTGGTAGTCAAGTTAAAACTTAGGTTTTTACCAACCCTGTTTTTTTTTTAATAATATCACATGAAAACCGAACCGAGCATCTCATTCTAAGACACCTTTTATAATTGAACGGCAGTCAAATCAAGGGCTTCAATGGTCACTCATCACTCCCTCTTCAGTGGGGCGCTGGTAGTATGGCCAGCTTGACTTGGCTACTACGTGTTTCTCAAGTATTATTTTTATTTTAGGATCCGGTAGATGCATTAGTGTGTTAGAACCCGACGTGTATAATAGCAAGTTGTACTGCGGCAAATTCGTAACTAAAGACTTCGTGGTAACAGGAGGCACGGATCCCAACTTGGTCAGAATTGTGGACCTCCAGACCACAGGAACAGCTGCCGCCATGAACTTCCTTCCAGGAGCAGTTTACTCATTTGATGCTGGGCAGGTACGGAAAAAGGATGTGCCATCAACTATCAACAAGGATATAATAAGCACCAGGGCTAAGAGTGACGCTTCTAGCATCCCTAGGATTGGCTTTGTATCGTCAAGGAGACTGTATCAAATTGAATTGTATTGATGTGATGTTTATATTCCCCAATATAGCAAAATGTCTCAAATGATAATATAATGAGGTGGTTGAACCATCGAAGGCCACCGTAACAAATAAACAATAATTATTCCTTAATTTACTGGATAAATGAAATAAATTATCAAGTAATAATTTGTGTTATCATGTAACACATACATATTTTTTATTCCACAGTTCTTTTCAATTTAAGTTTTTTTAAACTCCTCCGAATAGCCTTACAAGCAAGAAGGCTCCGTACAAGGCCAGTAGGTATAATTCCATTATAAATATATATATATATATATATATATATATATATTGAGACGTGGTCATTGTCGTCTAGACCAGTTAGGTGAAAAATTAAAGCTTCCGCTTTTTGTTGGGTACTTCGACAAAATTTAAGCAAAGAGGACTCTTTATACTTTTTTAATTCTCTCTAGCTTTCAATGGACTTTGCCATCATCATCAGGAGAGTAGTATGTGAGGATGTTGCTAATTGTTGTTTACGTATATATATATTCACTTGATGTCAACCAGATCTGCATAAATAAAATGTTCAACAACAGAAAATTTTATTTTAGTATTACAAAAAACAAAGAAAGGGTACTTAACATGAAGTAAGATAAAATGGGGTGAAATTAGAGTAAACACGTCGAAAAAACACAAACATAGACAAAACATAAGAGTCACAAACACAACACTTACCAAGTCACATTCATTTAGAATCAAATAAAATGAAACAAAATCAGTGGCTAGTAGCAAATTATTGATTCTAGGTTTGAAAGCACTGAGACACTTGGTTTTAAGAGTGGGAGGAATCCTGTTGTACAAATAAGATGCTAGGAAAGAAAAGGTGCTTTCAAAAGCTGTTGTTTTGTGTTTAGGATCCTCCAAAGTGGCCTAAACACCCATGGGGTACCGTGAGGGTGTATTCTGGCACCACCACGAGATCCGGCGGGTAGTACCCCCGCGTACGTCAGTCAGAGACCGTCTACCACCTACGGACAATCACAACATCCATAGCCAAGAGAAGAATTTCTCTTGCGATAGGATTCGAACCCGCGCAGCGCACGGTGACTGATTAGGAGACCGTAGGGTCTACCACTCCGCCACCGCAGCTGCTTAAAGGAGTGAAATGAATCAAACAGATCAGAGGTGACAAGTCCATCTTTGTCTCATCTAAGTCAACTGATACTTTTGATATAAGAAAATGTTTTTCAAATCTACTTTTTTTGATGTTGCAAATGATGGTTTAACAGTCTTAGACTTAGTTACATGTTCATAAAATGTAGGGTGCTCACCAAAGTAAACGCCAAGATGGCGATCGCATTTCTTACACACAGAGTTCCTCCCCACTTGGGTATAGGGTCACTGCATCATCACTAAAGTTACTGTGCTTTGAAAATAATATTATAATTGACGATTTTTTCGGATTTACCGGCATATATTCTCCTAAAAAACATACATTACGTAAATGCCGAAAGCGGACAATATATCGATGGAAATTGATGATGAGGCTTTAATACTTGTAAACAAAATAAGTACTTAGTTATTATAAACCAAATCTTAAGTTTTAGTGACATATGTGTAATAAAAATTAGTGAAAAAATGGGATATTTCGGCAGTATTTCATCCAAATTGTCTCCGTTTTGTAAAAAAATAATTTATAATACAATAATATATCCACATTTCAGTTACTGCTCATCATTACTTATTTCTTGTGGGTGATAAGCAGAGGCTCCAGCTGTTGAATGAATGAATCTTGAATTTTAGTGGCATCCCGGCCACCATAAGGAGCCAGTGCATAGGCCGCTTAAGCGGGCCCTTATGCACCTCTACAATACTTAAATCACAAGCCTCGCCCTTTTAGCGAAGTTGAGAATCGCCTTGAGTCAAAGCTCCTTTACGTCCTGAGGGTCCAAAGTAATGGACCCCAGTATAGTCTGCCTATAGTAGCTCAGAGCTTCACAGCGACACAAAACGTGCGCCGAGGTCTCTTCCTCTACTCCGCAGCGTTCGCACAAGGGATCCTCAGCCACCCCCATCACGTGCAGGTGCCGCCTTAACGTGTTATGGCCAGACAACAGTCCCACCAGCAACCTTAGGTTGGCTCTACCCAGAGATAGGCAGAAGCGTCCATCCTTAGCACTAGGCCCTTCAATGAGCTCTCGTGCCTGGCGGAGATGTCTAGAGATACTTCTCCATTTCTGAGAGTGTTGTCTTGCAACCCACGTCTCCATTTTCCTCCTAGCTTTATGCGCGGTTACTCCTAGAGCTGGCTCAGGACCAACGAGCTTGCTGGCTGATCCTGTTTTCGCCAGAGTGTCCGCCGTCTCATTGCCCCTTATCCCAGCGTGCCCCGGTACCCATATTAACGATACCGGATGCCTCGCTGCGAGGCAATCCAGAGCCTCCCTGCATTGCAATACAAGACTCGAAGTAATCTTACATGCACTTAGTGCTTTCATTGCAGCCTGGCTGTCGGATAAGATTGTTATTCTTCTCCTAGGCCCACCCTCCTCCAGAATGTGAGATACACAAGCCAGAATCGCAAAGATTTCCGCCTGGAAAATGGTGGTGTACTCACCGAGAGGCAGAGATAGCCTAGTTCTAGGTCCAGAGACCCCAGCACCTGAGCCCTCTTCGGTGACCGAGCCGTCCGTGTACCAGACCTGCCCGCTCACTTCGGAGAGTCCTCGGCTACCGGCGTCCCACTCCTCCCTCGTTGGGTACTCCACAATAAACTTGCGGTTGAAGCGATATTTAGGGGTAATACGATCACCCCTGCTTAGAAGGACGGGGTCCTCCCTTTCTAATTCGACTAATATGGCAGTATGCCCCTTGACCGGATTCAAGACAGCCCAGCTGCCCTGACTCCACAGTCGATGAGCGACTACTCTCGCTTCACCGCGGATTACCAGATCCAACGGTGGGAGATCCAACAGAGCTTCCATTGCACTCAATGGCGTTGTTCGCACTGCGCTTGTAATGCTAATACAGGCCAAACGCTGAATTTTATTGAGTTTGGCCTTAGTTGACTCAGTTCTAATGCAAGGCCACCAGACCAGGGAGCCGTACAAGAGAGATGGACGTACTATCGTCGTGTAGAGCCAGTATACCACTTTGGGTTTAAGCCCCCACCTTACACCGACAACACGTCTACAAGCCCACATCGAATTGCGAGCCTTGCTAACCTTGTGTTCCACATGCTCTCTCCAGTTCAGTTTGCAGTCCAGGATAATTCCCAGATATTTCACTGACTGGGATAAAACTAATCTAGTCCCAAAGAAGGTAGGCATGACCAGTCCGTCAAGCCTTCTTCTCCTAGTGAATAGGATCAGCTCGGTCTTTTCAGCATTAACAGAAAGATCGACTTCCCTACACCACGATTCCACGGAGCGCAGAGCGCCCTGCATAATTTCCGAGACTGTTCTACAGAAACGCCCCCTAACCACTATGCTTACGTCATCAGCATAGGCTTGCGCGTAGACACCCATACTGCTGAGCCTAACGAGCAGTTCGTTCACCACGATACACCACAGTAGGGGTGACAGAACTCCGCCCTGAGGGCAGCCTCTAGCTACGTTCACGCTGCAGCTTACGTTATTCAGCATAGCTGTTGTTACCCGACCCTCCAGAGTAGAGAGGACCCAATCTATCAGGATTGATCCAACCCCGTGTCTAACCAAGTCCTGTCTGATAGAGTCGGTTGTGGTGCAATTAAATGCACCTTCAAGCTCCAGCTGTTACTAAGTATATGAGAAGGCTATTGAATAGCAATAAGAATGTGCCAAAAAGTCGAGACAACATTAAATTCTTTTAACAGCTCATGAAATCATAGCAGAAGCAAACTTGATTTTATTAAATTAAATGATGTTCTGTTATTTTCTGATATGACATAAGATCAAAAGACAATTATTGTATTCAAATATTCAAAACTAGGACATTGGAAAAATCTCTTTTTGTTGAAGGTTTAATAATTTATAAGTAGGAATAAAAATAGCACAAAATGTAACAATATTTATGAGAAAATTAGGGTATTTATGTTTTAGATCCTAGTAAAATGGGGTATCTAAGTCATGTTAATGTAATAATGTAGCAAGAAGCTAAATAAGCACCTAAACACTAACACTACCGTAAAACTAATGTATTCGTGGAAATGTTTTGAGAATATTGTTAACATCGATAAAAACTGCCCTTGTATTGGAATAGAACGTTCCAAACCGACCAAAATGACCTTCACCAGGGTTTGTTCCTCGTGAGGTCAAATGTTCCAGACGGTGTTAGAAGTCTACAATTCAGTAAATAATGAGGTGGTACAATATAGAAAACGATTTTGCTGACAAAATAGTGACGCTAGCGACTCACTGCGCGTCTTTGTCCTTGATGGGCATTAGTGTCAGTAGGGGAAAACTGTCATTGTATAGACATAACTACCACTTTTTAAGAATTGGCCTTCCATGGTCCAGCCACCTTGAGCCCTTCATTTATTTACCTCTCATAAGATTTAAGATTTAAATAATTTGGATAATGACTGCCTGCTTGTCTTTTTTTATAATCTGACTATTTACTGCTTGCAGGTTCTACACGGTCAACCATTGTAGCTGTTTCGTGCTATTTGGCAACTCTTCAGCGTATTGTGGGTTTGGTCTCGGTGGACAATAAATTAAAGCTGAGCAACTCTACTCTATTCAGAGTATAAATAAAGTCTATTGAAAGAAGACAGCACAAAGTGCCATCTATTACCAGAATTGACTACTGCGAAAGTGAAAGCAGCTAGCTGTCTGCTGTAGGTGTATGATAGCTCGCATTGCTAGCCGGGTCACCGAATTTCGCGTTTGATAGCCATTCACCAGTGTAACCGCTGAAGGCTGACAATTCTGGTGGTCTACTAGACGATTACTAACTAAAGTTAAACAACTAAGCATGCTGCATGTTAAATGGCGATTAGACCACTTCTACTATACCTCCAGTATCATCAGCCTCTAGGGGTCACAGTGACTTTGTCCTGTCTCATTTTTACTTTACCTAGTTTGCTTGCGGTCTGCTGTCTCCAGTGACTAAACCTATACCATACCAATATATGCTAACAAGCATGAAACAACGTTTTATATGGTTGATT